AGACCTTCTAAAAGCTCTACTTTGCTCACTTGCTGTAGGACACCTACCTTAGGTATAAACATCTTTCCACCTTTAGACACTAACAGCTACCTTTTCTGTGAAATGCTTAATTAAAACTATTCCACAAGATTAAACTTGTTCTAAAAATCTGGTGTCTTATTCTGTGTTGCTCCCCAGGATTAATAAAAGTTACAGAAGAAGAGTTCCAGGTTTGATTCAAATTAGCTTCCGACTCTACATGGATGATGCAATCTGAATTTTTTGTGCTGAGGAGGAGCACCACAGGGCCACAGGGGTACTTCTTGGGGGTTGGGGGGTTTTTAAAGTAGTTTCCAAATTAAGATGTATGAAAAGGGAAGGGGAATGAAAAAGCTACGAAACTTGCCATAAGAAGCTATAGAAACTTCTTGCCTATATTGGAATTATGTTTACACATACTATTAACGGTACTAGGTAACACCAGATAGTTAAGATAACACTCACAATTTCTCCTTGTGGGGACAATAACTCAAAATGAATCCTTATTCATGGTAAAATACTCCTTTGCAAGCTATCAAACAACAAGTACAAAAGCCCATAACATCTACGTGTGGGAAATGAAGTATTCATGAAAATAATGTACATTTTTAACTGCATCCACGACAACCTTCTGAAAACATTCTCTCAGGGTTTGGAATCAAAAGGTCACCTTCACGTTCCCTATTTAGCGAAGCAGCAGCTTGTAATCCAGTTGTCTGTGTGCCTGCACTTAGCTTGCAATTCAACCGATTAAATAATATTTGATCTATGTTGTCCCTACACTTATTGAAGTTGTCTAAAAAAAAAAAAAAAGTTTAAAATAAGCCATTTATTGTAATCAGGAGAGGACTGCATATAAGGAGCTATTTAACAAGAAGTTAAATAGCTGGAGCCAATGATTACAAAGAACTAAAATGAACTGCTTTAAAACCAGAGAACAAAACCAGAAGATGCAGTTATTTTGCTGCCTCGCGGGAAGGTTATGGTAATAGGCCATTTAAAAAAGTGTTCAGTGAGCTCACAGGGACTGACAGAGATGCCACGGAAGCTCCAAAAGAATTGAGATTTAAATAAAGCTGAGTCTGAATATAAAGCAAAGCACTCTTGATAAACCTGCATCTTAGACTCTGAGTTGTCTTGGACAGATTTAAAGCATTGGAATCAATATTAACAAATCCCCTGAAAAAGCATTCATGGAAATGCTTCCTCAGTAGCTGAATACAGAGGAAATTTTTCTCAAAGTAAACAGAAAAACCATGACCAAAACCAACCACCACCACCACCACTTGGAGTGGTCTCTAAATCCAGTCACCTCTACATCCCTCAACTGACAGCTCCTCTTCCTGAGCTCCTGTGCAAAGGGAAAAGGTACTTGGCAAATGAAAATGAATGTACAGAATGCATTTAATTGACTAGGCAAGCAGTGAAACTGCTCTTTTTCTTAATGTTGACTTAAAATACAAATAAAATTGAAAATCATCTCAATGGTTTCTTAGTTTTGTCTATGAAAATCTTGTTTCAGCCTTGACTGAGACTAGTGCTTGTTGGCTTTGCAGCCACAAATTCAAGGACCAAAGAAACAAAGAGCACGGGCACATTTCCATCACAGGGTGCAAGCGTTTTTTGGAAGTAGGTTTGCTTGCTGCAGTCCGGATCTGCGGCTTTGGGAGGGGACTGTGTGCCCTAGGAAGTTAAAGATCTTTTCAGATGAACCAGGAAGGAGGAAAGAAAGTCAAAATTGGATTGAGACACAACCCTGAAAAACTATGTTTTGGATGGAAACAATCCATTTTCTTTATTAAAGAATTGCTTTCATATGCCCTTTCTCATCTATATAGATATATAAAAAATATATATATAAACAAAAATCCAGACAGATAAGAGAGAGTAAGTGCAACATCTTGTTCCCTGCTACTCAAGGGAAATAACTGATTATGAGGAAGATTAAACACTACCATGCCAAGCTATAGTAGTACAGTTAAGAACTTTAATAATTGAGTAAATAAACATTATAGGTATTTCAACAATGTATGTCGATGTAAGCCACAATGGTTTGAACCTCTTTGTCTAGGACATTTTAAATGTGCTTTGAGTTTTTTTTGTGAGTTAACTATTCTCAACAACCGACCGATTGATAAAGCTGTTGAGTAATACAGAGTGCTCTGCTGTCTGAGGAGCCCTGGCACAACATACGTGTGTGTGTATGTGTGTGTGTATTTTTAAGAAGCATGTTAGGAAACATGTAGCCTGCAGATTATTATAATAGCTTTATTTTTCTTCTCACTTTAATTAATGGGGAAAAAATAAAAAGCAGCATCTGAATCCCCTATATCCAAAGTATTGCCAATATTTCAATATGTAGAGAAAGTATGTTTCTGGCCCAAAGTCATAAAAAACAAAATGTCCCTTAGGACAAAGGCTTTTAGTCAAGTTACAAATCTTTCAACACAACAGCTCATTATGGGAAAATAGAGATCTCCTTTCATTACAATAACATTTTAATGCATGAAATATTGAAATCGTGGAGTAAAATCTGGCTACATCATTCTCAATAAGCAAAACAATGGGAACTGAAAATGACAAGTATTACGTTCTGTTCAATTTCTGTCATACCACGCAGCATAGTTTTCAGCAAGTGGCTATGGTGGAGAAGAAAACTTTTTTTGTTTGTTTTTATGGCACAGAGGTAAATGAAAAATGTGTGCGTGTTAAATACTATCCTAAAAAGAAAGAAAACCTGTGCAATTGTGCATGTTTTAAGACTAGAGCTTCTGGCATAAAACACAGAGCCAAAGTCAATGTAAACCCATAGTAAAACAACAAAGTATTCTTAATGCTTCTACCAGTATAGTGTCAAAAAAGATCAACTGATTTGTAACACGTAGAAAGCATTGTATAAAGAACGGTGCAACCAGCTGCAGATAATCACCATCAATCTGAGTAATTAGATTGAAGTAATATTGCAAGAAACAAGACAAGTGTCATTCTGAAATTAAGTAGTCGGGCTTCAAACTATTCTGGTGGCAAATTCATTCCATGCACTAATGCCACTTGGTGAATTCTGTGTGTACACAGCAACAAGACAACAAACACATTTTAGTCTATCTTTTATATGAAGAATTTAATTATCTATACATGTAACTAATTTTAAAGGCTGTATTACAGTTGTTAAAGCTGCAGGTTTTTATATATTTATATAATTTACATTCATGTTGATGAAATACTGAAGTGCAATTGAATAAGGAGCTTCACTTGTTCTTTGCACCGCATGACGGGTCAGAAGGAAGGAGATGGGATAGGATTAGAAATGCTACAACACTGCCAGCATGAAATTTAGAAATAAATGAAATACATAAACCAGAACATAACTAAATGGTAAAGTAATTAGTAGAACGGCTATATTGTGCTTGAGGCATTGGGAAGAGAGGGGAGAGGGTTTCTGCACTGACAGCACCAGGCATTTCATCAAGAGCTTGTAACTAATGCTGGAAAGACAAACAGGGCTTAGCTACAGCACATCTACTACATAAACTCGACTGTAAGCTCCATTTAATATTAATTTGTATAAATTCCACAGTCTAGTTTAAAAAATGTAAACATTGGAAATTAATTGCAGGGAAGAGATTTCTATACATTCTTTCTTGTCAGGAAAATTACTTGTTCAAAATGTGTTGTTCCATAGTCACAGGAAAATAAAAATGAGAAATCAAACTTCATGTAGCCAAGATGAAAATAAAGAAGTTAATTCTCAAATCCCACACGAATGTAGCATTCTATTGATTTCTGATATGAAAATGCAAAAAACGAAACATCTGAGACAAACACAAACCAGAGTCTTTTCTAACTGTTTGCAGCTACAAGTAATGTGCAAAATAAAATTAACATAACTAGGATAACAAGGTTATGCAAGGTTAATATCTCTTGCATTGGAAGGAAGTTCATTTCTTCTCTCCAAATGAATTACATACTCAACAAGGAACACCTGATACATACAGTACAATAACTACAACAAAATATCTTATCTGTAATTGGGCACATTTAAAGTTCCTTAAACTGATTTAACTCCTTCTGTTCTTTTGTAATTAAAAAAAAAAAAGACAAGGAAAAAAAAGACATATTGACAACACTGGACAAGTGAACAATAAAAAAGAAAGATACATAAAGTCTCAAATTTATGGACATTTGGAACAATTTTAATAGCACATGCAGCATTCCTTGATAGTGGGTCTTTTTGCAAACAACAAAATTGCAATGCAGAAATTTAATTTATACTTTTCCTTTAAAAGGCTAAAATAGATATTTAAAAATAATTTTAAAACTACTGAAAGCACCTGTGCAAAGGTGGAAAAAATTAGTTTGGTAACTATGAAAGCCACAAAAGGACCCACTATCCTCTGATTTTTTTTGTGTTTTTTTTGTTTCATTTCAATTTTGCATCTATATCTGTAGGTAATTAACTCAAACATTGCGATTACATGCAACTAATGTAAAATGAGGTAAACTGCTCTGCAGTGTGTTCTTCTACTCAGAAGGCAGTAGATGATCATGCTGGAAGCCACATGATCAAGGCTGCATCTCCCATCATCCCTCTGGGCAGTGATATGGGATAGTGGGTCTCTTTGAGGACTTTCAAGCCTGAGTGGGGGATGGACAACATATGATTCCTAGAAAAAGGAGGAAAACAACACATAAGCAAAACAAAACAATGAGCAAATTCAAGCTAGGAAAATGAGTCAGGCATGTAAACAGCATGGTGCAAAAATGATAAAGGGAAACATGCTACAAAGGGGATGGGAACTAAAAATAAAACAAACGTAAAATAAGGTTTGCATTACAGAAGGTCTTCAAAGAGACTTTGACAAGTGCAGCAGTGGTGAAGCTTTGACTTCTGCAAACCACAGCAGAATCACAGCAATGCTGCATGTTTCATCTTAAAGTACTACACGAATAATCACAGCATGGCAGCAGAGAAGGTCACTTACATTGCTGGCTTGGGTCCATGTCTGTTGTCAGCTTCACATAGTTGGATGGAAAGAGACCCACTTGTCCATTCACCTCCCCTTTCCACCAGTCTGGGTCTTCCTTGTTAAGGACGTTTATAATCTGGCCTTTATTGAATGCTAGCTCATCGTCATTCTGTGCAGTGTAGTCATACATGCCAATTACTTGGCACACTGTAAGATAAAGGAAGAGGTCTATCGCACTGGTAACGTTTCAGCAAAACATACGCTATTCACAAACCAACTACATAAAACACTACAGATGTCACAGTAGAGTTTCAAGACACTACACTGATGTGATCCGGTCCTGCCCCTCTCTCCTGTGCCCCGATATCGGTGCTTAGCTGAGCCCTCAAACTGGCTCAAGGTGATTAAAACAACCAAAGAGTTTCCTAGCAGCGCTGCTCTCTCAGTCAGCTTACTGAGGGGTCAGGATCACACTAGGGAAGGCTGAGCACAGAAGCGCAAACTGAAAACAGTGTAACCTGCCTGGATCTGTACCCAAGACGTTTATGTTTGAAAGTGCTCAACAGTAGGAGCAGATTGGAAAAAAATTGAAAATTTTAGCAAAAAGTCAAACACTTCAAGGATGTTAGCTTTCTATTGACACCTCTTTCACTTGCTATATATTTTTTTTGCCTACAAAAGCACCAAATTTGTTGTACATTTATAAAAACAGCATTCTGCATGCTCGCCAATCCATTCTGAAAAGTATCCCTTCCAACAGAACTGGTCAATGGACAGAACCATCTGGGAAACTAAGTTTCACTACCTGAAGTCTGAAAAAGGCACTTTTCTAGTTAGCACTGGACAGGCTCAAAACAGCTCTGTAATTCAAGAGAAAGGCAACAGTCATATCCTCGTACTACCACTAAGATGTCAGGAACACAAAGATCTTGGAAAGGATGAGAAAAATAAAAAGCATCCTAGGCCATTTCAGCTGCTCTTCTGGCACCACAGGACTGCTCCCAGCAGCCTATTTTCTATTTCCTTACTGTGAAACTCATCAAATCTGACTAGTTCTCAGAATACAGCCATTTCTGTTCAATTATAATAGAGTAGTTTTCTTAATTCTCTAAAGCAGCAGGACTATTTATTTAAGTATATAATTTCCTCTATTTCTCTGATGTTTTCTCTATGCCAAGTCATAGGGCTTCTGGTATTTTGCCTTGAGACACAAGGCTTCCATCTAATTAGCCTTGCTGTCAGGTTTTCTCCATTACATTAATCCTAAAATTTTCTTTTATTTTCATTCTTGTACTCAGGCAGCAACTTATTTAAATTTGTCAAATAGCTCCTTTTTTAAAAAAAAATTTATATTTCAGAAATTATTCAACTCCTTTTAATTTATACAAAGATCATAATCAAATAAACTCCACATTTAACAGGAATCTGCATGTCTCAATATCTAGCTTTGTTACTTGCAAAAAGGAAAAAAAAAAAGAAAAAAATTTTAAAAAGGGGCACTTACTGTCATTTGTCACACCTAACATGTCAACTAACCAAACTGTACATTTCCCGGGCATACTGGAGATAAGCCAGTATTTCTAAAGGAATGTGTATTATGGTGTACTCCTGGTTTAGGTAGTTTTGTGCTAACACAAGTTCAAATGTGTGAACACCACTGTTGTTCATATTTCACTTTAAAGACCTATGAATCTGTTTTACAGCATTCTTTTTACAAGTTTATATGCTATTACCAACATTAAGAACGATACAGGTAAAGTTAAGCTAGACCATACCCGAATACTATATATACATTAACAGATTTGTAACCTGCTCTAGGGTTAATTTCTTTCAAGAATTTTTCATTCAGATCATTCTCTTTACCTCAGAGAATTTTATGAAATTTGGTGCTGTTCAGTAGTATCATCAGAATAGTCTAAACAGTCCAATGGGATCCCAAGAACCACCTTAAACTTGGGGAGGTAATTTAAGAGAATTCTTGAAGAGACAGGATTCCTCAATTGAACCTGAAACAGTGACCTCATCTTGATCTTATTTACACTTGGTCACGAAGCTTAGAATACACCTTAGTCCTATATAGAAAACTCCTACAGTAGTCCCAGCAAGAAAGTTCTTCACTTACTTTAAACTCCAAAAGCCATTGCAAACTACAGAAGCAATCTATAGCCTACCTTCTCTCTGAGCTCCAGTGCTTTTCAGCCATTTGTTACCTTTTTAGAAAGATTGTCTGTTTATTAATACTAGTCTTACTGCAACAGCAGAGGGAAACCAGGCTTTCATATAACACTCATGATCAGTACAATCTATGATGTTGTCTTTCTTTAAACAAGCAGAATGGTTGAAGTAAGTTTCCCACTATTCTTATATTGTGAACTTCCTCATGCCTGACTAGCTCCAAGTAGCAGTAACAGTTCTTTTCATTTCTCAGCACCAGGAAGGACATGTTCATGACACAAGCTTAGAAGGGAACACATACACAGCAGTCAGAAACTAAGAAAACCTCAAAGTATAAAGCAAAAGCATCCATGCAACAGAATTAAAAAAGAAAGTTGTTAAAGTCATGCGGTTTGCATTATAGTATGGCAGATGGAGAGCATATACATTAAAAACACAACAAAAGAAACAGAGGTTTGGATGCTACTAGTTTCTGATGGATGCCCTACCTTCAAAACCCAGACAATAATGGCACAGTCTCAGACCCTTCATAATGCACTACCTTGGGCACTGTTCAAGCCTTGTAGATGGTTTTCTTCAGGCTTTCCATGTATTTTGCTATAGTAAGCCTCCCCACTAACATACTTCTGCTATGAAGATGCTTCTCAAGCATTAATCTCAAACTCTTACATTAACCACACAGTTAGTGAGGTCATCTATCATAATGGAAAGATAAGAATCTTTTTATCATCCTCCAAAATGAAAGGTCCATAACAAAGTTGAATTTGATAAAAATGAATGTCATTGTTATGTTCTGTGGACAATGAAAAAAGTGCTAAAAAATTTATTCTTCAGAAGTTTTATTAGCATATGTGAAAAGTCCCAGACTGTCAAACCTAAAATAATTAAAAAAAAAAAAAAAATCCCTTCATATGGCCTTGTAAAAGCATGTCTCAATGCTGAGTTACCATTTTAACTGCAGGACCCAAACTCAAGAGTCTTTACAGAAGTCTGATTTTCTGCATCTTTAAGATTACCATCAAAGGAGCCAATTAGCACCATTTATAACATTTGCCTTCTCTGATACAGTACTTTTATTTATACCAATGACATGTGAAACTAATACCACAGTATTTTATTCTAGTTCCATAAACCGCATGATAATCCTTCATATACATTTAAAGGAGAAAATTATGCTCGCTACCATTTTTCATTTAGAAACATTTGTTTCATTTTGATGATAGACATTCAAAAAAATGGCCTGTGGAAGCAGCAAGCTTTTGTGCCCTGCCACACCCAACTAAATCCAAACAGATGACAGACAACCATGTCAAGTCTTTTGGGTGGCTTATGGAAGAAAACACATCCATTCTGCATGGTTTTGATTGACAAGAATCCTCTTTACTTAGTACTACATCAACTCACAAGCCTAAAATGGTTCAAGACTGAAACAGTCACAAGGAATGAACTTTTTGTTCTCAGTCTTCTGCCTGGCTTCATACCTTGCAGTAGACTGACAGGACTCTTTGATGTTGCCTGTGGTGGAGCTGTAACAAATAGCTTTAAAAATAGAATGGTCTATCACTCTTGTATCCTTTCATAAACCTTAAAATAAGTAGCTATACAGGACAAAAAGCTACATCTTCATTTGAGTGGTTTTCTCATGCTTCACGTTAGGAAAAATAAAAGGTTCTGAATGAGAAGTGCCTCAACTGATAGGCCCGTGGACCATCCTGAACCTTTAAAAAACTCCTTTACTACAAGTAGTGCAAACAAATAGGACCGAATTTGAATGGTTTATTCTTTAAGATGTAATGTCACAGATGGCTTTTTAGCACTCAACAGTTCATACGTGAGGGAACACCACCATCAATATACAGACCAATTTTATGTTTTTCTCATTTAAAAGAAAAAAAAATAAAATGACGAGTTTAACCAAAGTGCCTAGTTTAACAGATACTACAGAACGTCCACTTATTTTTAGAAGTCCTATTGTAAATGATGCACATTACAAAAGCAACTTTGTTAATGCAACCGCATTGCTTACCTGAAGGTAATGCTGTTGATTTAGGTAGCTCGGTTGGTGTAGTTTTACTGGTACCAGGGCTCAAAAGTTTTACATAATTAGCAGGGAACCATCCTATCTGCCGTTTTTTCCCTCGTGCCTGGCAAAAGAACAATTCTTTTAAGAGGATTAAGCACATCAATAGATCCTTAGATGAAGTAATTCAGCTAATATTTTAACAACTGGCAGTCAAACTGACTATTTTAGAATTAAAAAAAAAAAAAACATTTTATGAGAAAAAAGTTAGCTATCTTTGTGGCAATAGTTTAATATTATGATGCTTCTATTATGTGAAGTAAGCTTTCATAATACATAAAGCAGTAGTTTATAGTATCTAACCAGTGTTATTTACTACTAATTTGAGTGATTTTTCACTTAAGTGTTCCTAGTTTGTGTGTTTTATTATTAATACTACAGCCCCGATTCTGTTTAAACGATAACTCTAGAATATTAGGCTAGCTATCGCATTAATGAGTGGCAGCATTTACATGCTTTTTCATTATGCAAAGAATTGCATTTAAATAGATACCTAGATTGTGATAGATTAAGTAGAGATTAAGAATCCCAATTACCTCTTTTCTTTTAAAAAAACAGTATCTAAATTTTTTTATAGTCTCTCCTACCCAAACAACAGAGTATAAACATGTCGCATTAGCCAAGTGCTAGAAGAACAGCAAAACATTACAGCAAGAAAAAAATGGGTAAAGTTTGGATTCAAATACAAAACCCCAAAGCCAGATTCTAATCAAACAAAAATTAAGTTTTGGCAACTACAAATACATATGGATAGACACTGTCCAAATGATCTTAATTAACAGATGTTAAGGTTTTGGAAAGTACACTAGATGTTCTTGTGCCTATCTAATCAGAGAACATCAGCAAGAAAATGTGGTGCACACGTGTCTTAGTGTGCGTGTGGTCCATGTGTGTGTGCTGAGAGAGCAGCAGGTTACTGTACACCTGGCCTACAGCAGTGCTCTACAGTTTGTAACTTAGCTGCAATGAGTCACTTTCAGAGACAGGGTATTGGGATTGACGAACCACAGGTCCGATCCAGTGTGACAAAGCTTGTGTCACCAAAGGATAGGAATTTGACAGAAAGTGCATCCTGTTATTTTGCCAATTCCATTGTTTATTGCAAATAAAATCAGAAGAAAAATCTTTACTGTAAGAAAGGTTATTCTAAAACTTTGAATCAAATCTCAGCTTCTAAGTCTATTAAATCTATGTTACAAATTACTTTATTCTCTTTTTGTGTTAGAAAAAGGTTGGAATTTTGGGCATGTAGAATTTTGCCTTTAAAAATAAAACAGATGTTAATTTTAATGAAAAAAGTCATCTAACACATATACTATTCTTTCACTACTTCCTTCCCTCTCTTTTTCTTTACTGAAAAAGAAAGCACTTGATATCAAGTGTATCTAGATCATTCATTTTAAGGTAGTCTGGAAGACTGCATTAAACCTGGCAATATAATGTAAGACCACACATTTGCCTTATTTTACCTTCACTCTGATCCCTAAGACAAGCATCATGAAAATTTACTGGAGGCTGAAACCAAACAGTACATACTCTTCTAAAAAATCTGCCACTTTGAAATTAAATGCATAAAGAAAAGTTAATATTAGTGTCCTTCTCCAAATCTTGTCATCATTTCACTACTTGGGGGGAGGGTGTTGCTGTTTTTATTATTAACCAATTCCTCAATCCATTTCACAATACTGCTGCATTAGCCTTTGTGCTCACATAACATAGGAGCAAGAACTAGTATTAGAGTGTTGGAATGGGAGAATGAAAAGAATAGGTAGGGGACTCCTAATGAAATAAAAATAACTTGTAAAACTATATGTAAGAGTAAGGTATCCAAAACTACAAATGAGTATTTACACATCCAAAAATTAATTTTAAAAAAACCCTCCCATTAGCTGCTAAGTGGTAATTGTGACAGGTCTTGTCCAGTGAAGCTTCTTATCTTAAAATACATTTAATGTGAGACTCTTTAAAGCTACAAGTTAACAACAACATAAAAGTTAGTCAGAATGAAAACCAAAACTATCCTGGAAGTTGAATTCTTCACAAAAGATGAAAAAATATCACCAGGAAAGGCAAAAAGAACAGGCAGAAATGTGAAAAAAAAAATATTTGAGTTAGTTTGAGCATCTGCATTGCAAAAATAAATCACTTACATTCTTTCATGTAATATTCCCTGTTAAAAAAACAAAACCAAACAAAACCTCATTCAGTGGTACAGAGCACAACTGGAAGAAAAAAAAAAAAAAAAGGCAAAAAAAAAAAAGCTTTACCACTGAAATTCACAGAGAATCAAAGTTTCTGAAATGTCAAGTTCTACTCTTTAAAAAAAAAAAAAACTGATTAAAATATTTTATTATCTATTATCTTCTCATACAACTCTCCATCTGATGTTTGCAACAGACACTATTCTTTTCACTCTTCTACATTAAATTGAGCTGTTGCTGAGATGGAGGCCATTAGACTGGTATTCTACACTGTCACATTCATTAAGTAACCTGAAAAAGTGGTGGCCATCTTACAAAAGCCACTGCTGGAAAATACTTCTCAATCTTCCAACAAAAGGGATAGCCAAACTTTTGGCTGAAGGAATTCAGAAAGCTTTTTAGGAAGACATTCAGGACTGCGCAGCCCAGTATTTCTTCCACTTTCCCAGTGTGCACATGTATCAGCTGAGCTGAATGCACGTGATATGCACGGTCACTTGTGGAATGTGACATACAAGTACACTCTGTCACTTAACCCAGCAGTCCCATGCACTCCTGTTGTGTGGCTGGCATTCCTTACCACCTGACATGACAACTGCTTTTTTGCTCACATGAAGATGACTACTAGACACAAAACTGTGAGGATTCAAAAGCAGCTGAAGCAATACACCCTAAAAATCCACTCCTTTCTTATTTCTGAAGGGCCACCAGGAAAATGAACAAGGGAGTGGACTGCAGCATGGGCAGTATCCTTGACTTACAATGAGCACAATGGCTTCCTCCTGCTGTCCTCCAAAGTTATTTCAAGTTTAAGAGATTGGAATGTATGTATATTTTTGTAAAGGGATTTTATTTGTAAATGCTTAATTGAGGAACATTTTCAAAATTATTTATCATTGATGCATTCATCATTTTGAACTATTAAAAAATTACCAATTTTTTTACACGGAATTTTATTTAAAAAAAACCAGTAACTAACTTGGAGCTCTCCTTCCCACCAGCCACCTGGATTCTTCTTTCTGATAAGAATCAACTGACCAGGAGCAAGAGTAAGCTGTTCTGGACCCGTTGCTGTGTAAGAGGCAATAACTTGAGCAATTTCTGTTGAAGCAGGGGGGGGGAAAAAAAAAGTTAATTTGGAAAAACCTGAGCACATTCTATACAACATTAACTCTGCTGTTATCACTGGCACAGTATATCCATTTTGTATTCCTTTCCATAAAATTGCTATGCATTTATGTAGTTCCATGAAAACATATGGTAATTATAAAACAGATCAGAAGTTCATAGCACTACAGGAATAAAACACAGGTGCAGCAGCTCTATGAGTAGGATATAAGAAAATATTTGAAATAGGGAAGAATAATGACCATCATTAGAGCTATATGGCTCTTAAAATCAAGTGTCATAGCAGTGTTTTCCACTAAGTACATTTGTGTAGCATCAGTTTGGACTAAAAAGAGGAGATATGTGTTGATGACAATATAATGAAGAAGTTGCAGTAAGAGGTGCAAACTAATGAAGGGCTGCAGAAAATTTTTTACCACCAGACTAGACAAAAATGAGTATTTTCAAAATGTAAACAAACAGGATTGGGTTTGAAACCTTTATTCTATGAACATTAGTACAAAACTGGCACCTTATCTAATCAC